ACAGGCACCAACGTCACCATCGAGTGCCAGTCGCTGAATGGGGCCACCTTCATCCTGCACAAGGCCGGGCGCTCGGCCCCCATCCAGCGCCAGGCCCCCGACAGGAGAGGCACGGCCACCTTCGTCCTCCCTCGGGTGACCCCGTCTGACGCCGGCACCTACGGGTGCTCCTACCGTCTCCGTGAGCACCCCTTCATCTCCTCGCACCCCAGGGCCGAGGTGACGCTGGAGGTGGAACACGGGGGGCCCAGCACGACCTCCCCTCTGCCGCCATCTCCAGGTAGGACTGAGCCCTGCCAGGGTGTTGTGAGGGGTATTTTGCCATGGGATTGTGGTAGGATGGGGACCGTGGGGTGGACGTGGTCGAGGGGCAGGTGGGGGGGTGATGTCAGGGGCTTTGGGTCATTGGGAGATAACTGGAGGTCAACTGGAGGTCAACTGGAGCCCCAAGAGGGTGGTGAGTACAGGGACGGGGGATGAGGGCATGGGATCATGGCTGGGGGCACCAGAAGGTGAGTATGGTCATGGGGGGATGGGGAGGGGGCATGAGGACAGATGGCTCTGGGACACGATGCAAGTGTGGGGAGAGGGACCAGGATGCGGTGGGAGCCAGGGGGACATGAGGACAGGAGTGTGGGATGGAGCTGGCGGGCACAGGGACATGGGGACAAGGACAAGGTGGGAGCACAGGGACGTATGGGTGAGAGGATGGGGCTGAGGGCATGGGGATGAGTTAGGGGGACGGAGGGGTGCGAGTGTGAGCATGGGGAAGGGGGATGCAGGGATGCAGAAGGACAGGGACAGGGATGGGGCGGAGGAGTGTGGGGACATGAGTAAAAGGGTGGTGACAGGGATGGGATGCAGGGACATGGATGCAAGCGTGGGGACAGGGAGGACGATTAGAGGATGGGGGTGCAGGGATGTAACGAGCATAGGGACGGGGATAGGGTGAGGGGACAGGGACAAGATGATGGCCTTCAGAAATGCCATTAAGAACCGCTGTCACCCTGCCCCAGACCTCCGACCCTCCCTGTCGCTGCACCCCAGCGAGGGGGCGGCCCTGGGGGACAACGTCACTCTGCGGTGCCACGTGCCCCAGCCGGCTGCCAGGGTCCTGATCTACAAGGAGGGAGATGGGACCTACCAATGGTACCGGGAGAAGGTGGAGGATACGGCTGAGTTCTCCATGAAGGTGTCGGCACGGGGCTATGCCGGGAGATATTGGTGCCTGTACGAGACCCTGGAACCGTCCAGGACCTTGGAGATCAGTGACCCCGTGGAGCTGGTGGAGCTGGGTGAGGGCCTGCTGGGGCACCCTGCATGCGGAGGGGGGTCCCTGGGGGGCGCCCGTGTGGGGCTGGGAGTGCTCGGGGGTTCCTCCATGGGTGTTGGGTGGTGCTGGGGTGTCCCCTGTGGTGTAGGGGGAGCCGGGGGTTAGAGGATACCCCTGGGGTGGCCGTGGGCTGGTGGTGCTCAGGGTCGTCGCATGGGTTAGAGGGTAGCCGGGGGGTCACCATGGAGCAGAGGGTGCCTGAGGTCCCCCTGTGACCTGAGGGGGGACAAGGGGTTTCCCCGGGGTCTGGGGATTCCCCTAAGGGCAGGGGGTCCCCATGGGGTCCCTGTGGGTCTGGGAGTGTCCCTGGGGTCTTTGTCGGCCAGAGGGGTTCCTCAGGACATCCCTGCGGTGTCCTCACGGGGCTGTGTCCCACTCTCTGTCCTTTCCTGAGTAGCTAGCTGGTATCGCCCACCCACAATAGCCCTGAGGCCCGGGGGACGCGTGAGGACAGGCACCAACGTCACCATCGAGTGCCAGTCGCTGAATGGGGCCACCTTCATCCTGCACAAGGCCGGGCGCTCGGCCCCCATCCAGCGCCAGGCCCCCGACAGGAGAGGCACGGCCACCTTCGTCCTCCCTCGGGTGACCCCGTCTGACGCCGGCACCTACGGGTGCTCCTACCGTCTCCGTGAGCACCCCTTCATCTCCTCGCACCCCAGGGCCGAGGTGACGCTGGAGGTGGAACACGGGGGGCCCAGCACGACCTCCCCTCTGCCGCCATCTCCAGGTAGGACTGAGCCCTGCCAGGGTGTTGTGAGGGGTATTTTGCCATGGGATTGTGGTAGGATGGGGACCGTGGGGTGGACGTGGTCGAGGGGCAGGTGGGGGGGTGATGTCAGGGGCTTTGGGTCATTGGGAGATAACTGGAGGTCAACTGGAGGTCAACTGGAGCCCCAAGAGGGTGGTGAGTACAGGGACGGGGGATGAGGGCATGGGATCATGGCTGGGGGCACCAGAAGGTGAGTATGGTCATGGGGGGATGGGGAGGGGACACATGACCAGACAGCTCCAGGATGTGATGCAAGGTGATGCTGGAGGTGGGATGTGGGGGGCCCAGCATGGACCCTCATCTCCTCACCACCACATCAGCACCCATTTCTGCACCCCCCAGGTAGGGTCAAGACCACTGAAGTGCCCCCTTCCATGCCCTGTACCCCCTCTGGGTGCAAGGTGCCCCAGCCCATCCCTCTCCCCACCCCATGGCACCCGCTTGGGGCTGTGTCACGGCTTCCGCCTCCGGGGAGGAAGTGGCTCTGGGAGCATCTGTGGTGTGGAGTAGGGGGAGGGCACCCACCGAGGACCCAGGTGTCCAGGTGGTGTGGCTGGGCTGAGCACCCTGTGATGCCCTTAGGCGCCAAAGGTGACTCTGGCTGGAAATTGGCTGTGGTGGGGGGCTGCGCAGCCACCCTCGTCCTCATCCTCTGCTTCGGCCTCATCTTCTTCACCGCCGCCCTGTGCCGCAGGAAGCAGCGCGGTGAGAGCCCTGGGCAGGAAGGGGTTAAAATGTCCCTAGGGCCCCCCTGCATGTCATGTCCCCAAGTGTCACCTCTATAGACCCTTGTGTTCCTCTCTGAGCCACCTCTGACCCCTGGCTGTCCCCTAGGGTGGTCACATGTCCCTGAGTATCACCTGCATCTCTAGGTGCTTCCTTCAGACCCCCATGTCCCTCCCTGTGTCCACCAGGGTCTCTTGGGTCCCCAAGTGTTACCTACATCCCCAGGGTCCCCCCCAAGTCACCTCCTGACCCCCTGGATCCCCTATAGGCCCCCTCCTTGTCTCCAACTGTCAACTGTATTTCTGGGTTCCCCTGTAGACCCTCATGTCCCTCCCAGAGCCACCACTCTGAGTCCTATAGGTCTCCTGGGTCTCCAAGTGTCACCTATATCCCTGGGGTTCCCTGTAGACCTTCACGTCCTTCCTAAAACCACTTCTGACCTGCTGGGTCTCCTCTAGACCCTCCCTGTTCCCATGCGTCACCTGCATCTCTGGGTTTGCTTTTGGACCCCCATGTCCCTCCTAGAACTGTGTGTCCCTCAGGGTCCTCTAAAGGTCCCCTAAGTCCCCAAGTGTCATCTGCATCCCTGGGGTTCTCTGTAGGCCCCCCTGTCCTGCCCAGAGCCACTTCTGATCTCCAGGGTCTCCTATAGACCCCCATGTCCTACCTAGAGCCACTTCTGACCCCTTGGGTTCCTTACAGACTTTCCGTGTCCTCAAGTGTCAACTGCATCTCTGGGTTCCCCTTGAGACCCCTTACGTCCCTCCCAGAGCCACCTCTGTCCCTCAGGGTCCCCTATAGGTCCTCTGAGTCTCCAAGTGTCACCTGCATCCCCAGGGTCCCCTGTAGACTCCCATGTCCTTCCCAGAGCCACTTCTGACCCCCAGGGTCCCCTATGGACCCCGAGCTGTAGCTGAGGGAAGGGGGGTCTCTGGGGGTCCCCACTTCCCTTCGGGGGGTTCTCAATATCTGGGAGGTCCCCACTGTCTCCATGGGGGTCCCCAATGTCCTGAAGGGGGTCCAGCTGTCCCTGGAGAGTCCTTGGAAGTGGGGTCAATGAGGTGTCCCCATTGACCCTAGGGAGTTCCCCAACATCTTGGGGGAGGTCCCTGCTGTACCCAGGGGGGGGTTCCCAATATCCTGGGGGGGGTCCCTGGGTTCGGGGGGGTCCCTGCTGTCCACAGGGGGTCCCCAATATCCTAGGAAATTCCTATTGTCCCTGGAGGATCTGGATGGGGGGGGGGTCTCTGCTGTCCTCCCCCCCCAACCCATTCACGGGGGTCTCTGTGCCTGCACAGGAAAAGGTCCCACCATGGTGGCACCCAGCAGGTAGGAGAGGGGTCCCCCCACCCCCAGGACACCTGGGTCTCTGCTGGGGGTTTGGGGTGGGGGGAGGATGCCTGAGTCCCCCCAAGCTGGGGAGGGGTGGGCAGGGGGCTTATAGCTCGGATGCCTGGGTTCTCCCAGCTTATGGGGAGTGGCGGGGGGGG